CTCTATCTACAAGCTCCACCTTACACTACTCTGGGCAATATGTGGGATGTCTATCTAGTCGATAGCCTCCCAGTCCAGTAGCTCTACACTGATTTGGGGGGACAACCCTCGAGGGATGTACTGGCTCAATCTAAACTGGCCTGTCACCAGTTGAGAATGATAAGACTCCAAGTAGACCTTCAGAGACTTGGAAGAGGAGCTAATGTACGATAGCCTCATCTTTTTGGGAGTAGTGGTTGAGAAGAAGACCTCATCTCTTAGCAATAGAGCGAGCTTATTCTTTCAGTCCACTAAATGTTTGTACTAGGTGGGAAGGCGGAAGTTTAAAATGTTAAAAGCCTTAAGGTCCTTTGCAAGGACCAGCTCTTCTAACTAAAGAACTTAAAGAAATTCTTCAAGTTGGTTAGAGGATAACCACCTAGGAGGCAGGTGAAGGGGTGGTTGGCGTGGAAATCTTTCGGGAAAGGTTCCCGATGGAGAAAAGGGAAGTAGGCCATCATCCATAACTTCAAGAACTAGACGAGCCTATGAAAGTTGCTGAAGGATTTCTTCATTAGTGACTCCCTTATGCTATTACAAAAATGGCATAAAAACATGGTCCTTAGGGCAATTTGGCTACCATAGAGGAGGGACTGGGCGATCCTCAGGTGTAGTTGCATGGGCTTCCCACCCCCGAGGCTAGGATCTATTGGCTCAGCAAGATCTATAAGAAGATCAGGTGCTTTGAAAGGGTGACGAGCTTGTTGATCGGCTTCTCAAAGAACAACTCCATGATATTTGTATAGGAGCTAGCGCTCCTAATCTTGCTCTCCAATTCGGCCGAGGGGTGATATAGGAGTCATGCTTCTATAAGATTGCATAGAAGTTCTTCTCCCCGATGATAGGTAACCCCAAGTACATGAAAACATCCCATATGTGACGAACATAAGACTCAGCTCGAATACGAAGTCATTACAGCCTAGAGCCCAGAAACTTAAAAGGATTGTCAATGGCTTGATTAGGATGTCAACATCGGCCAAGGACAACTGAATAAGGTCATAGAGACCTACTTCTTTCCACTGGTGCACATAGGTTTGCTTTAAGTGTCTTACCCAATTGACCCAACCACAGGGAGACCTAGGTTAGTTCCTAAGCTTTTGGCAAGATGACTCAGGAAAAGGTGAGATTGTTCGAACTAGGACCAAGTTACAGACTGAGGTCAATGGCTATGGATTTGGTTGGGTAGGGGCAGTCACTTCAGATAAGTCAGGCAAAATGGTCAAGTACCTGACATCACTCTTGTTAGAGATTTAGAAACTCTAAGGAGAAGTATTGAAAAGATAATGAATAGTTAGTGTATTTCCTTAATAAAATAGAAGGGCTAAATAGGAGAAGTAAAGAGCTTACCAGAAAGCGATGGAATCATGGAACGAAGAATTCTCTTGTAGTGAGAATAAAGAAATATCATAATGGAGACCTAATCCAAAGAAAATAAGGGGTTTTGAATAATCAAATATGCACCGTTACCAATTTGTCGAGTAAGGCAATAGGATTCTAGATAGTGGCCAGAAAATCATATAAACTTCTGATGGATGTGGAAGACGGAGCAACAGTAGAGGCAGCGGCAGAAGTGAAGGAAGCCATTTGTGAGCAAAGGGAAGATTGGAGTAAGGGAGGCAAAAGCTTGAATGTCAAAAAATAGCAAAAAGGGCAAGAGAAATGACTAGAAAAAGAAATAAATTTATATTAACAAAGGGCGCTTAGAGATGAAGTGATGTTTTAGTTTTTTCAAATGTGTCGTGTGACTTATGTTATTAGCCACTGGCACGCGGGGGCATTGTTTGGGCTAAAATATGAAACGTCACTCAAATAGGTCACAGGGCTAATTAGGCTGAGTAACTGAAGAGTTAGGCCCAATCTAAACAAAAGGTCTAGCCCCAAAGCTCAATAAAGGCCACGATAAAATAAACATGCCGAAATCCTGCCAGTTACAAAATTGGACTGTTGGCACATGAAGACACGATCCCAAGTAATTTCAGAATCCACGGACATCGTGCCCAAGTATCTAGGTGAGACAGACTGATTATCAAAAATGAAGAACACAAAATAAAGACTGTGCCATGAGTCTTACGAGATCCCTAATTCCTTGGCAAAATGTTATAGGTCTTAAGGAAAGGTTACCACCATTTTGACATTATAAATAGAAGACGAAGACATAGAAAAAAAGGAAGTTAACACTCAATCAAAGAATTACATTTTTACACCTTTAGCCTTTAGTTTTATCAGTTAGTTTTACTTTCAATCTAGACTTGTAACATTTCGCATTTCAATAAAAATCAAATACTTGTTCTACCAAAGCCTTGTGTATCTTTTACATGCGAGTGAATTATGATAAAGGAGTTCAAGATCCTTTTGTTATCAATTGAGACTTAACGTCTTTGGTATGCCTGGTATTTATTGTTCACATCGAACAAATAGCTTTGTCAAAAGAAGTGGGAAGGTGCAGAATAGTCAAAAGCAAAACCTAGAGAAAACTGTTCACCAAAAATTAAGAGAAAATGCAGAGAACAAAATCAACATGCTTTTTGTTTCTCCTCTCCTAGACATAGACTTATTTTCGTATCCCAATAGTGATTAAATTTACGACAATTAATTAGTACATATTGATGAATATAATGGCATTAAAATAAAAACTGAATCCAAGTAAATATATGCGCTTCAGCCTTCAGCAACCCAAGTAACTTCTGCGAAGCTTTCTCGCAAGAGGCAACAAACATGCATACATACATATAATATTTCTCCAATTAGTATTATAATAATCAAACGATGCTTATCGTCATCAATAAAAAACAGTTATAATAGTGATTTTTGTTTTTCGTCTTTGTATAAAAAATAGTTGCAGTCATTTTTCATTTGATTATAAAGGGAAAACAGAACCGTTTTAATGGCTTCGCAAAACGCTACTGATTTCAACTATCATGCCAACGTTTACAGGCTTTAATTTCGATAACCTGTATTCAAGGATGGAATTTGAATGATGAGAACTAAATCTAACCCATTAAAATTAAAATTGAATAATCTTAATTTGATAGAATCATTTTATCTTTTACGTAGTGTTCTTTTATTTTTCTCGAAGGATAAAAGTTGTTAGCCAAATTTTTTAAATTTGGAATTCGGTAGGCATCTTTAATGGGTTTTTGTCTTTTTGTTTGGCTACCGCAAATACAATTTCTCATTATTTATAAAAAAAGTTTTGTTCTTGTTTTTTTTTTTTAAAATAAACAATGAAACCAGCGCAAACCAGCACATACTGTTATCACCATAATTACAGATTTACAGTGTCTCGCAATAATACGCAGAAGGTCAGAGGGGCTGAGAAACGAAGTAAAATTCTGGCAAAGCCTCTAACCTATAGTTTGCCAACGTTTTCTTTTTGTAAGTTGTTTCTATTTAAAAAAAAAATGAAAAAACATAAAATATCAAATCCAAAACATTTAATTAATGACTTTATTTTTGTTTTTGAAAATAAAAAATAATTTTTTAAAAAAAAACAAACAAGCCCTCGATCTTCCTGATTCGATTGCAGGGAGGTGTCGCTAAGCAGACTTCACAGAAAACAACCACTCCTCTCACTTCCACCTAACATCTGCACAAAAGTCATTTAAATATTAATCTTATTTAAAATCATTTAAATTCATTAGTAACAGATGAAATCAAAGTAGTACGTCCCGCAAATGAGAGAGAATTCACCTTCCAAAATTAAAGTATCTATGTTGACATGTGTGTGGTGCAAGGGGACACCCAAATGCTTCCCCTAATTTTCTGTTTGAAGAAACTCTAATGCTGAGCTGTTCTCATTACATCTATTATGATTCACATTCCTAGAATAGAACACTCTAGGTTTTGCCGTGTTGACTTTTAACCCCAGAAAGGTACAAAATGAATTAACACATCGCACGGTAACATCAGCCTCAGGCAGAGAGGCTTCAACAAAAATCATAATGTTTCTATGTCTGAGGAAGGCATGCCTTTGTTAGTGAGCTATATCCTGATATTCGGTTTAGGACCGTCCAAGCTGTGAGACTGACCATGTTTAGGAAAACCCTTCCCATGATGTACTTGATCCACTGTATTATGAACCATAGGAGAGATGCTTGATCAAGGAATTAATATAACCATATCAAATAAAGATTAATTTATTGATAATAAAATGAACTCTATTCAATTCCCCTAATTATTAGCTATATGTAGTGACGTTTACAATTACAGCTAAACACAGGGACATTATCCTTTTATTTATTTGTTTTTATGTACTATGTAATTTGTTCTTGGGATTGCTACTCATGCACCCTTATATACCATCCATTAACCCATAATCCTTATTGCTCATCCATATTCTTAGCATCCAAAGGCTATTTCGAGAAGTTATCCACGTGTCATGTATTAAGTTAGCATAACAGATAATAGTAAGGTTGTTAAATTTGTAAGTTTAAGTAAATTCGTGATAGGAATATAAACTCGTATCATAAACTCGGATTGTAAACTCATAAAAGTTTACCTTTATTAATAAATAGTCATTAAAATATAATTGTAATTTAATTTAAATATATTAAAAATATAAATCATTGAAATTACACCCGTCTACATTGATAAATTATCATATACAAGACATACAAATTTTAAAATAGGAAAATTTATTTTTGGTATTTTTATTTTTTATTAATATTAGTTTTCGCATTTTAAGTTTTTTTTAAACCAATTCTTATAACTTTTATGAATTGAATTTTTCATAATAGATACTTAACTCGCTCAACTAAAAAAAATTAATGAACTTAACAAGTTTAACTAAACTTACATCTAGTCTAAGTTTATGAATTAGTTAACACGACTTTATAAGTTGGAAATGTAAAAATGGTAAACTCGAAGGTAAACTTATGAGTCTAACCGAATTTATATTTAGTCCGAATTTATGAGTGAGTTGATATAATTTTATAAATTAAAAATGTAAAAATATTAAACTTGTAGAGTTAACTCAAGACTTTGATAACTATGAATTATAATTTGTAATTAGTTATTTATTTGTCATACAGCCTCTGTGCATGTCGTTACTTCTTCGAAGTAATAAAGCAGTTCAGTTTTATCTCTCAAATACTTTTCTCTCGGTTTCTTGCTTCCGCTGTTCGATCTGTTACACATATGGCCATCTCCTCATCATACATCATGACAGTTTCGGTGACAATCGGCATTACAAACCCAACAGGTTATACCTTTCCTGATATGCGGTTTAGGACCATCGAAGACTGACCATCTTTCCTTTTGTTGGTCTTATCCAAACCGTTCTCACGAAACTTGCCTTTGTTCTTGCCTTGCGATTGACCATCATTAGGAAGACGCACACTGTCCCTTTCCATGATGTGCTTGCTCCACTCTACATATAATTGAACCCAAAGAGATTCTTCATCAAAGAATATAAACATATCAAATAAATGTTTATTAATAAATATAAATAATACCTCGATGACACAATGATTTCAGTTGACTACTCTTCCGATCTTGTTAAATGTTCAAAGCGAAGGTGATTAGAAACTTCTTCAACAATGTTTGGGATAACATCAATTTCTTCCCTGCTCAATTACAAGTATCCATTGATAAGCACGTACAAAGTAAACGATTCAAAATTTGAATACAGTATTCCTTTTCATTTACTTTAAGATAACCTGTATGTTATCAAACCTTGACATATTTGAAAGGAAGGTGTGCCCACAAAAAGTAAAACAACACAATTTACATCCAACTTAAATGCTCAAAGCCTCAAAGTCATTTCTTCCTTTTTCGTTTTCGTTTTCTTATCTTTCTTCAATAAAATGAGTTAAGGAAGTAGTTTATTGTTTAACTTTAGAAAGTTCTTACCTTTTCAACGCATTTTCCTTGAATTTTATAATATTGTTGATACACCTGTACATATTTTGGGCACTCAAGATAGGAAAAATGTGCATTGTTTTAGATGGTATACATCATTGTGTAGTTGTGCATATTTTTACTTTTATCCAATAGCTTATAGATTTCACTTTCTTTTATAGATGTTTTGGGTTGAAGAATTAAGTCATTCAAGCACGTTGGCATGCCTGGGAAGCAATAGAAAATGGAACAGAAGCAAAAGACGCCAAGCCATGGTTGAAGAACTGAGGAAAATGTTGATAAGACAAGACTGAAACACATCCACGCCTAGGCCAAGAAAGCCGAGCCTAGGCCCACAGGCGGAAGCATCAACATGTGGGCAGGGAAAACCAGGCCTAGCCATGTCATATTTATTGAAATGCATATTGTTTTTGTGATTTTTTGTTAGAGCACCATGCAGAAAGACAATTTTAAATAAGATTAAATATGTCAATAAAATTTAATAATAATATTTTATTAGCTTACTTTTTAAAAATAAAAATAATTTTCATTTACTATAATTTTAAATAAATAATCATTTTATTTTTTTTACTTGAAGTTGAAGGGTAATATTAAAAAAGCATTGTTAATGAAATATTATTTTTGTTAAATTATTTTATTTGTTGAGACAAGGAAATTAAATATACTTTTAAAGTTTTTTTTTTATAATTTGGGTCAGAGAGGAGTATATATTTAAGTTTTTTTAGATATTATTTTTGACATTCTAGAGCTTGGGAGGCACAAGGGGCCATCCATGGAATGAACTTGGAGTCAAGGCAGTTTAGAATGAAGATTTAAGACAGATGTTGGTTTCTAGCTAGGCTTCTCTATCATTTCTCCACCATTTGCATCTATTATATATAATGATGTTGGGCTGTTTTTGGTAGTTTAATTATTTGTGCTAAAACATAGATTATGTGTAGCTAAACTGTTGTTCTAGGATTTTTGGAGCTTTATTTATGAATTAGTGAATGTTTCCAGTCCTCTTTGGCTATTTAATGGTAATTGTATTTATCCATTTGTGATCGTCAAACTTTATTGCTGATTAGCTATCCATTTGGACTGATTTGGTTTTCTAATAGTCTGTAGATAGAAAAAATTTGGTAATGGTTTTATTCATGCTTTATCCTCGTATAATCAAATTAGCTAGGTTTTCTCTTTTATTAAGCTAACTAATGAATCTTGCGAAAGAAAGAGGCTTAAAGCAATTAGATAGCATCTATAATTTTGAGAGATGCTTAATGAAATTGATCATATGTTGTTTCTCTAGTCTTAAAATTAAGGGATAACCTAATCATGTGGCCTTATAGTTTTGTTGGTTTTTAATTTTAGTTCCTATAATTTGTTTTCATTCTTTATAGTCCATATAATTTAACATTATTAGGAATTTAAAAAACAAACGTCACCTAATTTTATTGAAACTATAGAGAATGAAAATACTAAAAAAAGAAACTATAAGAAGTAAAAGCAAAACTTGATGAAACTAAAAGAACCAATGATTGTGTTTTCTCTAAAATTAATAACAACTAACATTTAAGTTTAATATAAGTTTATTTCAGATTTTTCTTCCACTCTTGCTATTTGTACTGCTCAAACAGTTGATACTTAAGTAGGTTTCGGAATTAAATCTTCACCACAATGTTACTTTTCTTGTCACCATCTTACTTATCACAACCTCTGCTATTGCAGTACGCTGGTGAGGTGAACATTTATGTTGTTATGTTTTTATTTTAAAACTGATAACATACACCTAAGAAACCATGTTCTGATTTCGAAGAAAGAAGTAAAGAAACATACCCTTTTTCTAAGCTCCAACCAAGCCTGTGAGCTGCTTCAGACAAAGCCAACCTCCACTTCTCCACCTTTTCCATGTTATCCTGTAACTTGTCTTCAAGCTCGGCCATTGCTAATCCAAAAATTCCGGTTTGATGGCTTACTTCTGAAGGGTCTACATTGTAGAAAACGGGCAAAACCAGTTTGCCTTTTGTTTGCACACAATCAAGGATCATAACAACTGCATCAAGACACCATTCAGAATATGCATCGGATTCAGAAAATACAATAACTGAAATCCTAGACTCTTTAATTGCTCTAAGAGCAATTGGGCCCGAATCTTCACTCCATTCAGAGCTCCCAACATCTTTGAAAGCATTAATATTGCTCTCATATAAAGCTTCATATAGATCACCCACAAAAATGTTGGAATCGCTGTAGGCTTCTTCAAAACTCAGGATCGATACATCATGTCCTGGTCCTTGCGCAAAAGATGATGTTATGGCCACTATTGTCAATTTTAATAGTAATAGTAAACATTTAGCTAGCAAAAGATAGATGCAACAGGCCTATTATCATATCAAAGCTTCAAAATTTTATAATCCAGATATAAGTATATGAACAAACACTAGGTATATACACTCATGCAATTTAGTCGAGGCATATATATATATATATATATGCATCTTTAGCGAATGGAATAAATTGTATGGCATCTAATTACTAGCTAGTCAACGATTATTATTACCAATCAATGCATTTTCTAGCATCTAATTGCTATTCCACATCTTGCTAGAAAGACGTGATGTAATTGACTAGGCTATTCAGTTAAAATGTGAACCCAAATAATCTTTTTATTTGCAGGAGTGAAAAAAAAAATCAGTATGGGCATTTTTTGTTGTATTATTGTTTGACTTGAACGGCAATTTAAAACAGCTAACAACATAACAAAATCTTAAAATATTTGCAAGCTAATCATGTTATTAAAAAAACTGTTGCCAGAGCTTGCTTTTGTTAAATGCTGAACAGCCATGAATAGCATAACATATAGTTGTAAAGATTTCGTATTTATATTGCACAATTTACAATTAACTATATAATAACTTGCAATTATTAATGTTCTATCTTTTAAAATTCTAGCTATTAAGTACTTCTGGTCCGAAATTATAATTAAATTGTTACATTGGTCCCAAATTGTCATCCCCCATTAATATCAAAATAGGTATCCGCCCATTAATAGCAAAATAGGTATCCGCAATATTATTCATATCAAGTCCATCATTATTTCAGATCCCAACTTAAATGGAAAATCACTTTAAGTTTAATAGGCTTATTGGTCCACATCAAACCGTTTTGTAAAACTGATTAAAATTCAACCAGTGTAAGCCCACAGTAGAAAAATTCCAACAAAATATCCACAGTAAAGCACAAAGAAGACAGGCAGAACACCCCCCCGAAAAAAAAAACAAAAAACCTGATGACTCATGATGCTCTCTGTTAGCACACTGGATTTCATTGAATTTAAATCCCGATAAGTATTACCTTCGAGTTCTTCTCTCCCTCCCTCTTTCTCTCTCTATTTTATTAACATTTGAGCTCTTCTCTACCAGTCGTTGTTCTATACATTTAACCAGTGGGGCATTAAATCAAATAATCTGAATGGTAACACAAAAAGAAAGAGGATTTGGGAGGGGGGGAATACCTCCATGTTCCATAGTGTTCCCAATTGACTCTACGGATTTTGTTAATTGTTCTAAATGAAGGCGATGAGAAACAACTTTGACGATGCGTAGGATAACATTTTCTTCCTTGTACCTACTCAATTGCAAGCATTCATTATAAGCGCAAAGTAAACAAGTGAAAATTTGAATACAATATTCATTTTCTTTTACTTTAAAGGCAAACTCTGTTTTCAAACCATGACATATTTAATAATTTACATGCAGCTTAAATGCTTGAAATCAATTATTTTCTTTTCCTTTCTTAAATTAAAGGAATTTGGAATGTGATTTATGCAGCTGTGTTTTTGTTGAAAATCTCCTGACAAACACAAAAAAAAAAACTCTTTTTTTGGTTTCAAAGAAACACATTACTACAGAATATATCTTTAGAAGCGGGTCTTTAGGAGCACTTTTTAAATAAGTGTTCTAAAATGTGAATGCGGAATTTATCGGAGCGCTTTTCTAAATAAGCGCTCCTGTATGTCAGGCTTATCAATAAGATAACGCTCCTAATTGATATATATAAAATGTTATAAAAAATTTAAAAATACCTTCGGGAGCGCTCGTACTTAAGCACTCCGGACGATTGCTTATGGACCTTGGCAGAGTGCTGTTTCGGAGCGCTCTTTGATGAGCGCTCCCGAAGATGAGCTCTTCCGGAGCGCTCATTAAAGAGCGCTCCGGAAGAGAGCTCGGCTCTTCCGGAGCGCTCATCTAAGAGCGCTCCGGAAGACTCTCTTCTGGAGCGCTCCGGAAGAGCGATCTTCCGGAGCGCTCCACAATGAGCACTCCGGAAGAGTCTTCTAGCCTCTTATATTTTCCCATCTGTTTCTTTTCTCTATTCAGTTTCTTTCAAACCTCTCTCTCTTTCTTTCAAACCATTCTTTTCTCCGTCGCATCTCCTGCGCTGCTCGCCGTCTGTCACTGTCCGTCGTAGATCCCGCGCTGCGTCGCCGTTCTGCACTGCATCGCCGTTCCGCGTTCTGTCACCGTTTCGTGTTCCGCACTGCGTTGCCGTTCCGCGTTCTGTCGCCGTTCCGCGTTCCGCACTGCGTCGCTGTTCCGCATTACGTCGCTGTCGTGTCGCCGTCTCCCTAGCTGCATCGCCGTCTCCAGCGCTGCGTCACCGTCCGTCGCCGTTCCTGCGCTACGCTGCGTCGTCGTTTTCACCGATCTGCTGCCACTGCCGTCCTTCTAGCTCTGCTGTTTGCTGTCTGCTGTTCCAGATCTGAATCACTGTTCTAGATCTGTATCTCTGTTCCAGATCTGCATTGCTGTTGCAGATCTGTGTCGCTGCTGCCGTGAATACCGCCATTTTCTGCCGTGAAGACCTTTGAAGGTATTTTTTTAATAATTAATTTATATATATTTGAGAATAGATTTCAAATATTTTTTTAATAATCAATATTATAGATAATATATGAATTGAAGTTATTTATATTAAAATTATGGAGTAGTTGATAATTTATATTGTAGTTGATAATTTAGATTAAAGTTGAGGAATCTACTTGAACATTTTTATTTTATTTATGAAATATACTTTTAAGAGAGATTATTGTTATTAATTAAATTACAATTGATTGACAGAATTTAGATGCATTGTGCTGCTAAATTTTTATTTGGATGAATTGATTTTTTTAGTTTAAATGTATTGTGTTGTGGAATTTGATTGTTTGATCATTTGGGAGGTGGTTTTTTTAAGGAAGTTGCTGTTGAATTTTTTTTATAGAAATCTAAGTCTTTTATTTATTAAATTTTGGTAATCATATTAGTGATATGGATCGTAAGTGGATGTCGGCTAATCGACTATCTAGAGAATATTGGGATGGTGTGGATGAATTCATTGAATTTGCATTTTGTCGTGATCAAGACCCCCGTGGAGTCATATGTCCTTATTTGAAATGTTGCTATAGAAAAAGAGTAAAGCCAATAGAATTGAAAGATCATTTAATATGTAATGGGATTGATCCAACTTATACTTGTTGGACCATGCATGGGGAGACAAGGAATAATGCAAGTGATTGGAGGGATAGTGCGAGCTACTCAACATTTGATCGTGATAGTGGGATATATGATGTTGATCGTCTTGATGAAATGATTGATGTGATTGAAGAGGATCTTAGGGACTGTCCTGAGATGTTTGAGAGATTAAAGAGTGATGCTGATAAACCATTATACCCCGGTTGTAAAAAATTCACAAAACTATCAGTTATTTTGAAACTATACAACCTAAAAGCAGCGAATGGATGGAGCGATAAGAGTTTCACGGATTTGCTTGAACTCTTATATGAAATGTTACTTGAGTACAACGAGCTTCCACCTAATACTTACGAAGCGAAAAAAGTGCTCTGTTCTATTGGGATGAGCTATGAGAAGATACATGCATATCCAAATGATTGTGTCCTCTTTCAGAAAGAGTATTCAACCTTAGATAAGTGTCCAAAATGTGATGCATCACGGTACAAAAGAAATGGATGTATCAATCCATTCGTCCCTGTGATTTATTATCTTGATTCATTAAGAGATAGTGACTTTAAGAACTACAAATCTATGAAAATATTATTTAATCAGTAAGTTTTTAGTTCTATATTCTTTATATATGTTTATTATAACAATTAATTTTTTACTTGGTATGCTTAATCATTATATAATAGGGCTGTAGCACGTTATCGAGGAGGTGAAGGTCTCCCTCCAAACACCGAAAGACCTGATCCTGTTGAGTTTTATTCATGGAAAAGAATAAAGGTTTGTATTATTTTCTTAATAAAAAAAGTTGGTACATATCTAAATGATTGTTTGATTGATATTTTATGTTTTTTATTCTGAATATGTTGTTTTGGATTGATGTAGAATTTTTGGAAAATTCTGAAACTTCCAAGTTATAGGGGAGACTCTGCCAGATTTTTGACAACAAATACTTGTATCATTTATATAACTTCATCACTGAAGTATTATAAATTAAGTTAGAATTTATTTCTACCATATTTTGATAATAACATCTTTTATTGTTTTATAGGTACCTACACAATTACAAGGTTGGGAGTGTGGATACTATGTTATGAAGTTTATGAGAGAAGTAATCACACAACAAGAGTTGATCATTCCTGAAAATGTAAGTCAAAAGTTTTGAAATTAAGTTAATATAATGTTAATTACTTATATATTGCTTTCATATCTTGTGTAGTATTTTGCTGGAGCAAGATATTCGCATTTTACTATGGAGCAAATAGAAGATTTAGTTGAAGAATGGTCAGAATATATTATTGGCTACTTGTGATAGGAAGTTAGATTTCAATGTTAAAAAAGTAACAATAGTTTCATTTGTTAGGCTTGTTAGAAATTAAACTAGGTTAGTTAGAAAATTGAAATTATTGTATCAGTTTCAAATTCTTTTCTTATATATAAATTTTTATGTTGATATTATTTTTAAATTAGTTTTTTATATTATGATTGGCCATTATTAAAGATATGTAAAAGGAGAAATTTAAAAAAATTTGATTTTAAAAAAATTAAATATAATATACGGGAGCGCTCATTTAAAGAGTGCTCCTGTAAAGTAACTTACCAAGCGCTCCTTAAGAGAGCGCTCCGGTAAGTCAGCATACGGGAGCACTCTTTTTAGGAGCGCTCCCGTACGTCTCATTCAGGAGCACTCTCTTAAGAAGCGCTTTGGTAAGCAGCATATGGGAGCGCTCCTGTAGAGAGCATACAGGAGCGCTCCTAGAGAGAGCGCTCCCATACAACCCGGAGCTTTCTTACGGGAGCGCTTTTAGAAAAGCGCTCCTGTATAGCGTACATACAGGAGCGCTTTTTTTAAGTGCTCCTGTACATTTCGGAGCGCTCGATACGGGAGCGCTTTTGAAGCGCTCCCTAAGATAAAAAAAAGCGCTCCTGTAAGCTTATTTTGTAGTAGTGACAAGTAGAGACATACATTCTTGTTATGCTCCAACCAAGCATGTGGGATGCTTCTAACAAAGCAAACTTCCACCTTTGCATCTTTTTTATGTCATTGTTTAATCTGTGTCCATGCTTGGTCATTGCTAATCCAAAACTTCCTGATTGATGTCTTACTTTTGAAGGGTCTGTATAGTAGAAGATTGGGAAAACCAATTTGCCCTTTGTTGCAATGCTATTGATGATCATAGCAAGCCCTTCAAGACACCTTATGGAATAAGCATAGAATGAAGAGAATACGATAATTATAATCCTTGACTCCTCAAATGCTTCTCTGACCACAGTTGGGAAAATATCTTCTCTCAATCCAATGCTTCCAACATCTTTGAAAGCATTAATCTTTCTCTCATATAGAGCATTATATAATTTGTTCGTGAAGTAGGAATCGCAGTCTTGAAGACTCAGAAATACATCATGTCTCGATTCTTCTACAAAAGAAAATGATGTTATTGTAGCCATTAATTGCTGCTAATAATAACAGCAAAAGTATACATTCTACCAGCAACATACTATAGATGTCATGCAAGAGGCTTAATGTTCATATCAAAGCTTCAAAATATTATAATCAAGGTATAAGTGTATAAACAAATAACAGGCATGCATTCATGGAACTTACGCGTTAGCATTATTCACCTTGGTTTACTGAAGAAATAGATAAATTGTATGGCATCTCACTAGTAAACCTTAACATCGTCGCTGGTCAACTTTTTCCATTTTTTTTATACAGAAAAAATGGTTTTCAGAGAAGAGCTATTTCACGCGTTGCTAGCAAGATGTTATGGAACTAGGATATTCATGTTATAATTTTACCAAAACATCTAGACAGGTATCTTCACCCCAATAAATTAAAAAGAAGGATCTAATACTTATAAAATTTATTATAAAAGACTAAAATTAAATTAGGCTGAATGATTAAGGTAAGTGTAATTAACTATTATAACCTTAGCATAAAATATGTCAATAACACCATAAAATAAACATGAGGTACTGTCCAAGTTACAAAAATATTCTTTAAAAAATTAAGGTCGTGCTGTTTTCAATTTTACATGCACACAGAAAAAAATAGTTTTAAATTTAATTAGAACAATATAATTTAAAAAAATATTTTCTTTTAAATAATTGAATCAATATAATTTTTTGAATATTTATTTTTAAAAATTAAATCAATATAATTTAAAAAATGTTTACCTTTAAAGAATTATTCAATTCAATTTTTCCAATAACAGTGTCTCAATCTCTAGATTTGTAGATTAATTTTTAAGAGAGATGACGTCATTAACTTGCTGCAAGTTTAAAAAAATGTAGGATATATTATTAGGAAAAATATAGTATTTTTAAATTTATATTTTGATATTCGGTCCTTCTAAATAAATTTTTTTAAAATCTTCTCCAATAAATATTATATTTTCCATATTCTTCATTATAACTTTTCCAACTCTATAAAAATATTAAATGTGTGGCTAAAATTTTCCTAAAATATAATATCGCGCATTTGTATAATATAAAACAGAAAATTGAGAGTGGATCATTGCCCCTGATTTTGCGCCAAGTGGGTCCGTCCCTCAATAAAATATGAAATAAAAAATCATTTTTCTTTAACACGTGTGTGTGTGTGTAGCGTAACAACAGAGCGAGAATGTACTTAAGGTACTGTCAAATGACATTATTTAAACAATATAATATACTTAATATGTATATACAATATGTCAATAAAAAAATTAAAATTTTAAATATAACTTTTGTTTCAGAAGAATTATTTTACAAGCTAAGTACGTAACAATAAGAAAAAATAATAATAAAATCCCTCTAAAATATATAAATGATAATTTAATCTTTCAAAATGTCATAATTTTATTGAAGTTTTTAAAAACTTTTCTGTCATTAATGAATTTATATAAATTATAAAATCTTTCTTATTAAAAATAAATAATTCATAAGTTTTGTTTAAATATTTACAACTTTTCTTCTTATATTCGCAACATTACAATCGCAAATAAAGAATTTAACATGCGAAATTGTGATTTATTATTGTATTATTATAAATATAAGAAAGAAAGTTGTGAATATTTGAATAAAATTTGTAAATCATTTATTTTCAGCAAGGATAATTTGATAATTTATATAAATTCATTAATGACAGAAAAGTTCTTAGGGACTTTAGTGAAATTATGACATTTTAAGGGATCAAATTATTATTTATATATTTTAGAGGAATTTTATTGTTATTTTCCCTAAAATAATCATCTAATTTTAAGAAAGTTCAATATGGTTATGGCAATACTTTAATAAGTCATGGTGATATTTGTTAACCTTGTAAATTTCATTTTCAAGGAGCTCCCGATCATTCCTGTTTTGTTATATAATAATCCAGGTGTGTTTTGATATGAGAGAGAATATCAATGGTAACACAAAATGAAAGAAGGAAAAAATAATACCTTCATAATGCGTAGTGTTTTCAATTAACTCTCCATATTTTGTTGAGTTTGAGTCCTGATTTGTGTTGTCTTGAAGCTCTTCCAAATCTTGTGGTTGTTGTTGTACTTTCAGCCACGAGTTGCAATCATTGTATGTTCTAGGATCCATGAATCTAATATGATCTTCTGTATTATTTTGTTGCCTCCACGAATGAGCAGCAAAATAAATTCTTTTTATTTCCTGTGCATTGCCCTCAATGGAAACCTTCACTTGATTCCATTTATTTGCATGTGGGAGTTCAGCATTGTGATCAATTATGCTTTTCAAATCACATACATATAAATGATCGATCATGATTGTCAAAATCCGCCACTCAGAAGAAATATCTAACTTGGTATCATTGATTTGCACCATGAATCTATCATTGAATAGAAAATCCTGGCCATATTCAGCAAGAATCCATAGAAAATTGTTGGGAACTCATTACGAACCCAAAAAGACATGGAGTTTCCTTGATTATAACTGTCAAGCCATCCTGGGATTTTTCTTTCCGGGAAAATAAAGTTTCTTTTCCCAGGTTTGAAGTAGAATGCCTGCAATAAATTACGAATTACAACATATGATAAATAAAATGAGCAACAAAAAAAAAAAAGATGAGAAACGATAAGAAACTTTGTTCCTGGAAAAAAATAAAGTTTTTTGCCAAGTTAAAAGTAGAATGCTTGAAAATTACATATTATTACAGAAAATGATAAATAAAATATACTAAACAAAAAGAATATAAGATGGGAGCGGGAGAGACCTGATTCAATATTTTACTTCTAGAAGAATCTGTCAAGGATATGCAATTCGTGGCGCTAAATTTTTCCAACTTTGGTGGCATCTCCAGAATATGCTTAAGTTGCATGCAATTATCCAACAGAAGATATTTCAAATGGTGACATTCTTTGATGCATACTGGAAGGGTTGTGAAATGATTAAAACTTAAATTTAAATGTACCACATTAGGAGAGTAAGAAAGACAGAGAGCAACAGAATCATTTGATAAATTGCAATTTGAGAAACAAAAATGTTCCAATTTTGAAGACTCTAAGCACTCTAGACTTGCTTCTCCTCCACTTTTGAGCACCTTAAAATGCCTCATCCCTTCGCAAGAATCTGCTGTTAGTCTCCAAAGGTTTGGCAACACACAAATGCTAGCTGGTAATTGCTTAAGATTAGGACACTCCTCCATATGTGAGATTTCTAGCCCGGTGAGATAGAAAATTGAAGATGACAATCTTGTAATGGCTGTTCTATCTAGTTCAATCACTTTCAACCTCTCCATCTTATCTAATATATCTGGAAAATTTTCAAGACTTAAACATTCAAAGAGATTCAGATACTCAAGAGATTTCAAATTAATAGCAGGTGGCAAAGTCTTCAAATTTTTGCATTTCTTGGCACTCAATTCTTTGAGTTGTTTCAAAAATCCAACAGAATTATGGATTTCTATTAGCATGGTACAACCATCAAGCCACAACTCTATTAAATTAGAAGCTCCTGACAAATCTGGTACTTTTCTAAGAGATTTGCAATCTTTAAAATTCATGCAAATTAAATTCTCAAATTTCTGCAAAATAAAGATAGTTTTTTTTTTTTTAGAAATAGAATAGGGAAAGGAGACAAGAAAAGTAGCTTTAAGAAAACTTACAAGCATACCTTATTAAATGGTTGGAGCAATTCACAACAGCTATTGGACAAGTCAAGATAGTGAAGTTTTGTTGGATGGAAATTAGATGGCAAGAATTTGAAAGGATACCCCTTCCATTCCAATACATACAAACTATTTGGAAGATATTTAGGGCCTTTAGATAAACTTGCATTTTTTATTACAAGCACTTTGAGGTTCTTCATATTCTTGAATGCCTTCCCATTCCATGGAATTTCTTTATCTTTGGGCAAGTCTAGAATTATGACTTCAATTGCATCTGTTCCCTTTGGAAAAGAAAAGCACACAACAAATGCCATATTTCAGTCATATGAAAAACATCAAAGGCAGGTATTAAAAAAAAAAAAAAGTCATGCATATGGTGCTTACTGCATTTTTCTCTAAGACATCAAGAATGTCCTCATAACACCATAACCTATCATGTTTACCAGGTTTTTTTGGAGATTGTTGTCTAACAATTTCTTTTTCCATATCTTCTATCAAATCATGCATTGTTACCCAACCTTCTTTAATTTTTATGAGAGAT